AAACAAGAGAGACGAGGACAAACAGCTCATCGCTGCAGCGCCAGGAACATGGAGATGGGGTGTCATGGCGACAGCAGCCTGGTGATGGAAGACCAGGAAACAACCAGGAAACCCTTGAACTGTTTCATGCATTCTGAGCTTCCATCGACCCGTTTACAAGCGTTTCCATCACAATACGTAGACTTCTGATCTGGATCCTTCAACCCTCTGAGCCTCACAACCCACCAGTGGGTTTCAAAACCCAGCAGACTGTCAGGATGACTGGGCTGCAGGCTGCAGACAGGAGGCAGGAGGCAGGGGAAGCTCATGGCCTGGTAGCTGTGCCACACTACACAGGAGACATTTCTGCCATCTCTGTACTTCTAGTCAGGATTGTGACGTTTCTGTAGAGGTGCAGGACTTTAGTTTACTGTTGAGTCGTCTACAAAGTTTCAGAGGGGATGAAGGAAAGGCAAAGCGTCACACTGAAGAATCCTGTCAAAGATGATCTGTGAAAGCATCCTCTGATTGGACCAACCAGACAGCCACAGACGTGATGTTTGATGTCAGGACTGTGATTAGGTCCATTCCTGTTTAGCTCCACTCATGTTGAACATCATTTGAATATTTTATTCCACCTGCTTTATGTGTGAACTGTTAAAAAGACTTTTCCTGCTTCAGAGCAGACTTGTCCTGCAGAGCTGAGCGAGCTGCTGTTTTTCTGTCTTGCAGGGAGAGAGCTGCCTCCGATCTGCAGCAACGTCCGTCAGAAGCAGCGTCTCTCCATCGACACGCTGCCTCCGGAGGTCAAGGCTCCGTTCCCCTCCGACCCCATCATCCCCCTGCGCACCAAGACCACCAGGGAGTTCCAGTGAGTCTGCAGCTCCACAAACCAAATGTGAAAACCAACGGCGGGAGGTGGTGTTTTAAACCTGGTGTGTGCTTCTACTTGTAGGGAGGACATGGAGCGGGCCGTCCAATCAGGCGACTGGAGGGAGGTCCGGGAGTTTTACCTGACCACCTTCGACTCCTTCATAGAGATCAACGCTGCCTTCAAGGTGGAGCACGTGAACAGCAGGACTTCCAGCGCTCGCTGTGGCTGGTCCACCATGGGAAGCTGCTCTTCTCTTCTCACCTTGTCCTTCTCTTTCCCTCCTTCCCCAGCGAGAGGCGAACGGTTTGTTTAACACGACAGAGGACTCGGGAGTCAACGCCAAGTTTGTCAGCGCTGTTTACGACGCTCTGCTCAGCACGGTGAGTCAGACCACCGCCACACCCCGGGTCACAGGAGGGGTCTGGAAACCAGGCTGCTCCTGTGAGCCCACATATCAGACAGAGGACAGTCAGCCG